TTCCATAAAAATGATTTATTTAATTTAAAAAAAAAAGTTTTTTAAACTAAACTTTTTGTTTTAAAAAAAAGGAATCATTACAATTCCAAAAGTTTTGATTACAATTTTATTTTACTTAACTGAGGTTAGTTTATTTTTCCCATTGAATAATTGGGGAAAACATTTAACTACATACTCTGCGAACCAGACCCTAAACTTAAAGTCTGGGTTGAGTTTTTTCCCCTTCATTAATGGCATACATTATTTCTATCATGGTAATTCAGGGTGAGTTATTTTTAATTCTAAATGAATTCTAAATGAATATCCTTGTTAGACTTTTATTTAAGTGCTATTCTCTTTCAAGACACATTTACCTAACGCCAGAATAAATGCAATGTACATTATGCAGCAAAGGAAATTAGAAGATCGGACATTTATCCATTATGGAGATGATAAGTTTTGGACAGGCGATGTGCCCCTATTGCATAAGCGATTCTGAAGAATGACTGATATCATTAACGATACAGGGAAGAAGCTTTTCATTTATCTTGCTTTGCTAGCAAAGTCGTTAGCTAGCAAGTCGTTAGCTAGCAGCTAGCTGATAGCACATCAACAACAGCCTAATGTCTGTATGATAAAAATACTGAATCGATAGATAAGAACAGTTTTTCCTCACCTGGCTGTTTCCTCCCCTCAGTAGTTCTTCAGAGAAAGGCAGACGCAGAGGCCTGTCAGAGTCTGTTGTATTTCATTTCCTCTCTGCTTAAACCGATACTCCGAGCTGAATAATTTATAATAATTAAAAACAAAATTGACCAAAAGGGCACTTGGGGGCAAGGAGCAAAAGGGACAGGTGCTCAAGCACCCCTCGTTACCCCCTCTGCACGTGCCTGTCGGGTAGATTTTAACTTTCAATTTCTCTTGTAGGGGGAACTGATATGTCTCAGATCCCAATTATCCAAATTGGTTGTTCCACTGAACCGAAACTAGTAACTTCTCCAAAATCGATTCCATTCCGCAATGAGTTTTAGAGTCCTCAGCTGGGCTGCAAGTCTCAGCAAGAATCACATCCAGCTTGCGTCTGTCCACACCAACAGTCCAAGTGTTCACTAGTTCGGCCAAGTCTGTCACGAATTTGTCAAGAAACCAGGAATCCACAAGATCCAAACAGCAGAAATCTTGGTGTCATGAATAAATCCAGGCTGAATCCCGCCGGTTGTGTCCCTGCAGGACCAGAGGGCTCTCCTGTGTCCAGTCTTCTGGGGCTCCAAAAGAGAAGGGCTCCAAAAATATAGGAAAAGACAGCATCCTGATTTATAGAATCCTGTTGCATGTTTTAAGAACTGCTGGAAAAAGNTCCAAAGAAAAGAGATCCGACATCTTTAGTTCAGACTGGAGCTGCTTCCAGGCTGTAGGAGCCGTTACACTGGGAGCTGGTTCCCTTTTCTGTTCAAACAGGTGCAATGTGCAAAATAAATTAATGTAGTGTAAAGAAAGGGAAGTAGCAGATTGTTATTTCCTATAACAATCTGCAATCTAACAAAAGTTTAAGTAGGTTGGAGCCCAGCAGAGCAGAGTTTCATAAATCATCATCATCAACTGATTGTTTCCATTCAGCTTCTGAGTTCAACTCACAATGACATGTGAGACGTCTGCTGCAAACTTAAAGCACAACGATACACAGCATTCAAGGACTGAAGGCATTTGGTCGAAGCTTTCATACACAAAACGTCTCCATAATCCAGGAGCTCCTGATTTATTTATTTCTATATTTGAGAGACAAACAGGATCCATTACAATAATGAAACCCAACCTTCATTTTCAGTGTTTGTAAAAAATTTCTATGTTCTTTTTATCTAAAATAAACCCAAGATATTTATAATTACTGACTAACTCCATTTGTGCACAGAGAGCAGTGGGAAGCAACAGAGTTGAAAGAAAACCATCGCCGTCGTCTTATTATGCTCAAAACCAGCTTCAGACACGTAATGAGTTTGAGATATTCTTTGTTGTTTTTAATGGTATACAAAATAAAATCATTCTACTAAACATTTGCTGAAGATGTCAAAAGTTACACCAGATGATCACAAACTCTTCATTGACACAAAACAAAACCAAAGATGTACATAAAACCAAAAAACCCAAAAACCAAGCAGAACTTTCGTTATGATGCAACAACCACATATTTGGTGCCGTTTCACAGTTTCCACTTTACTTAAAGTCACAACAGACAGAAGAACCTGCAGAAAAGGAGAAAGGTAAGAAATTATTTGCCTTTTTATTTATTTTTATTGCTAAGAAAAACTGATTTAGCTAAAATAGAAGAATTGTTGGATTCTAATCTTATTAGAAATCCATCATAATTTGCATAAAATTATTTTTTTGAGAAACAAATTAGGCTTTTTTTTATCACTTATACATTTTTAATGTGCTCTTAGGATGCATTATACAGAAAGAGACAAAATCAATTATTTTCAGTTCAGTTTATTTCTATTGCGCCAAGTCACAATACGTTATCTCTAAGAAATTTAGAGAGCAAAAACAAAAAATATATATTTTTTTATGTTAAAGTAAAAAGTTATTTGCAGGAGAGAATATTTAGTAGTTTAGTTTAGTTATCTCAGCCGAAGCCAAAGGAATCGCAGCTAAACAGATTGTAGCTTCAATAAAGAGTTAAATAAAGAAACAAAGTTAAAAGTTGAAATAACTGGACAGAGTGGATATTAAAGCGTTCAGTTTGTCCTGCAGCAGAAATAACCAGAAAAACCTTTAATAAGCTGATTATTAAAGACTTTATGTGTTAATTTAGCAGAGAGTCAATGAAGAGAAGCTGAAACAGGAGAAATATTAGTTTGGCTATTCTTTCTGGGATTCACATAATTAAAAACACATTCACTACAAAAACAATTACAAACTTAATATTAGAAACACATTTATAGTTATATATAAATATGTATTTATTCAGAAATCGTCAGACTTTCAGTATTCAGTTATGCTGCATGAACGGATCAGAACATTAAAAGCAAAAAAGATCTGTATAATTAAGCTTTATTAGAAACAGCATATTAATTCATAAATGTACATTTATAAAACTATATATTAAAAATAATTAAGCAGTTCTTGTTTAAGAGCTCTGAGATTTGTTAAATTTAAAACTATGTCAACATGGGGAGAGGGTTTGATGAAAGTATCTTTGACATTGTATCAAAATAGTTCTGCCAAAAACATGCAAGTTAAATGACAGGAAGGTGCTTTACGTTTGTCACAATTGTCAGAAAAGGAAGAAAAGAGTTGTGACAAACGGGTTTTGGGGATATTCATCCTGAAAAAAACTCTAAACTGTTTGAGTGAAAGGAGAGCACAGATCGAACTTGTATGAATTTTCTTAAGACCTTTGGTACTGGGTGAGGAGTCAAAAGACAGAATTTCATTGTAAACCTTTCGAGATATACGAGTTTTGAAGAGGATCAGCTCAGAAACATCTCCCACTACAGGTTCGGTGGTTTGGAAGGAAAACTGGGAAACAAACTTTTGGCACAGAGTCTAATTTAAAGGTACAGATGAGAAGAAGGGAGATTAAACTCTAATGAAAGGTCTGCAGCTGCTAAAGATACCTTCTTTATAAAACCATTAAAACATGTCAGCCCTTATTACCCCATGATGAAAAGGTTGGATCTCTGAGCGCCGGCTGAAACAGATCATTCTTCAATAATGTCATAAAGTGTTGTGGTGGACCCAAAAGCAGCAGGTAAAGGCGTGGTGTGGATTAGAAAATTTAGTTAACAAAATCAGTGTCCAGCTTACAAAAATGAACATCCAAGGGAAACACAAACCAAAGAAAACCCAAAACTGAGAGATGAAGAGATACTAAGGAGCATGAGGGGAATGACGAGCATAGGGACTAGCAGGATAACAGGACGGACTGGGGAGTTGTAACTGGGACAGAGGAGCTTAAATCCTGGGAGGTAGAAAAAGGGAAAATGGACTTAATGAGATGAGAAAACGGATTCAGGTGTGAATAGTTGACAGAGGAGCTGGCTGAGGGGCGAGGAAGCAAAGGAGAAAAAACGGGGAGGAAACATTAGACAGCTGAAAATACATCCAAAACTAAACACTAATACTAAAGACCTGGTAAACTGGAAGACAAAAAGACACAAGGGAAAACATAAATAAACCTAAACAGAAAGGCTGGTCTGACAATAATAACTAGGGATGTAGAGCTATGGTGACGAGATGGACTAAACAAAGACATAACTCAACTAGAATCGCTAAAGGAGGATGGACATAGATTCAGACAAAAGACTCACAAAACCTAAAGTGACAAAATAATAAAACTAGAAACACTACTGGGGAAAGCTAGAGGTGCTTAAGAAATAATTAAACTGGAAATACAAAGAAAGGTAAACCTAAACTTAGACAAGTAAGAATAATTGAACCTGGGGTGATGAAAATAACTAAGAAATAAACATTAATAGAAACACTACAGGCAAACCGAAATGAGGAACTAGAAGGCTTAAATAAAAAACTATCACTAAAGAAAGCTCGACATAGACTCAGACATACAAGAATAACAGAAACTAAAGAGTAAATCTAGAAACTCTATGAAGGGCCTCTAACTGAGATCCACTGATCTAAACCAATTTAAATCTTGTGGATGTGTGCTGCCCAGTAACACAGTAGGAAGTTTGGAAATGACTGAATCCGCCACTGAATTTGCATCTATGAAGTTTGGATTGTAGATTCTGGGTTTGTAGTTGTTTTTTTATGTCGGCTGCTGAATGTTGAACATGATGTGGTTTTCAGTGTGCAGGAGCTCTGGCGCCCTCTAGTGTCTATAGGTGCACATCGCTGCCAGAGGCCCAATCCTGCATAGAGGATGGAATATATAGCAGAAAATTATTTAATCCAGTTTTTTTTATCTTTTGTTTTTTACAGAATGGCACGAAAAACAATTCAGATGGTTTGTGTGGTTCTCGGCGCCATCGGGCTGATTGGGGTCATCATCTGCTGCGCCCTGCCTGAGTGGGTTGTGGGATATGAGGATGATAAGGTAACCAAAAGGCATTTTATGGTTGACATTAGCATGATAGTTATGATGAGTTAACTTTTATGTTTTTTAATCAACAACTATTTTATGTGTTATTGTATAATTTAACCAGAATGTCTTTATAACAACTGTTATAAAAATGCTGTAGAAATGAAACATAATATGGACTTTGCAGTTTTACGCCTCATCAGAAACGTACAGATTCCTGACATCATCTGTTCTTTTCTAAACTGTTTAAAGACTCAGTGATATTAATTTATATAAACTTCTGGTTTGGATGGGAGTTTAAAAAGATTCTAAAATAAATAAATAAATAAATAAATAAATAAATAAATAAATAAATAACACTTATTTTGACATTTAGTAAAAATAAATTAATTATATTTTTCTATCTGATTTAATGTCAGAGCATGCAGTAAAGTGAATGTAAATATCTGTTTCTCTGTGTTTGGGTGGATAGGAAGTTCATGTAGGTCTGTGGAAGATATGTGCAAAGCAGGGAACTGGACCGCAGGAGTGTGCATCATATGACTCCCAGGCATCAGCTCAAATTCAGGCCTGCAGGGCCTTGACCATCATCAGCTTCATCCTCTGTGGTCTCGGCCTCCTCCTCCTGATCTTTGGTTCCGACTTCACCCCATGTGTTCAGAACCAAGACGCCAAACCCAAAATGATAAAGGCAGCCGCAGTGGGCCTGATACTGGCCGGCATGCTGGTGATCATCCCGGTCAGATGGTTTTCAAATAATATTGGAAACGCAGCAGAGGGACTGATGCTGGGAGCGAGCATCTATGTCGGCTATATAGCTGGTGTGCTGATGATCCTGTCTGGAGTTCTGCTCTGCTACTTAAGCAGATCCAGATCCAGCAACTATCACCAGCTTCAGAGCTAGGCTTGATGGAAGGGACTGGTGTCCGATAGACGGGTAGACAAGGGAGATGATTTGGTAAAAACTGGGAAGATGACATCAAATTATCATTTCTGTACTCTTAACATGTAGTGAAGCCATGTTTTCTGTAACACATCTTTTATTTTTCTTTTGACAAAATTCCCAGTATTTTTCTTAAAATCTCTGTTAAAATTAAACTTCATAAAGATCCTGAGTATAAAAATAATTTTAAAAACATAAATGTCTGAATGCAGGAAAATTTGATTTCAGTGATATTTTGATGCATTTTTTAAATTTGCTTATTAAATCCATTTAATGTTTTTTTCATGCTTTCTTAATTCCTGTTTAAAGAAAACTGTCAACATAATTACTAACCAGATTTGCTTCAATTTCATGATGTTTCTCAGTTTTCTGCTTTACTTTCTATTGATAAAACATTTACTGTAACTGTTTCTGTTTTTGTACAATAATAATAGATCATCATCTTTGGTCAGATGTGATTGGAAAATAAATTAGATCAAAAAATGAAAAAGCTTTTTTTTCTACAAACAAAACAATGTAAGCAACTTTCAGAAAACTTTACTTCGGCTGTTTGATTCTTCATCTTTGACTCACATGCAAAATATTGATTTACCTTCAAATAAAGTGCTACAGTCTGACTTCTTTATCTTTGAGTTTTTCTTCTGTATTTTTCAGTTGCAAACAAAAGAAAAGGTTTTGCTGATTTTTCATAACTACTTTGAATTTTTCTTCCCTTTGTTAAACTTTAAGATCTCAGTTTAAATAAAAAATATTCTAAAATCTTCACAAACTGTTTATTCATATTCATTTTGGTTTCACCAGATTTTAGACAAAATCAAAACTTTGCACTTAAAGTTCACCAAACTTGATTTCATGAAGCTTTTCTGGAAAATCTGAGGATTTATTGGATGGATGTTGAGTCGTGGTTTTAGTGACGCAGCTGAAGGAGAAAATGCAAATGATTTATGTTTATTAATAGTTCTTGGAAGAAGTATCCAAAGTTGTTCTGCTTTATGAATGTGATATTTACCAATGAGCATCAACAGTTGTATAAAAGGTGTTATATCTTTATTATTAAAAAACTATAAAGTTTCTCATCAAATGTAATTATTTATCCTAATTTTACCTGCAGGAAAAAATAAAAATATTGAATTGGTTCTGCTTTTTATAGTTTTTTAAAATTATTTAGCCATATATATTATTATAAATAGTCCATTACTGTGCAGGGCTTCCCCCAGAAAACTTGCTAAGCCTGGTGGTCGGGGCGTCAGCAGTCCACTGGCGTTCCACTGTGTTTTTGTATTAAAAGATTTTAAGGTGACAGGAAATTTAAAAATATCACTCAGTAATTATATGTTATGGGAAAACGTCGCCAGTGAAACACTACTTAAACCCACAACCCTCTTATGACCAACCTGTCGGCGCCGACAGG